TTACCGAGGATGTCTCGAGCGAATCGTTTGTTTTGTAGAGCTTGAGGGATCTGGCACAGCACAGCACGGCACAGCACAGCCCCTGGCACAGCACATCGCCATCAACACCTTCAGCAATGCAAGTGCCCGTCGCCCAATACGGTGTCGTGAAAACGTTTCCATGCATGCGGTTCTATATGCGTTTCCACGACCACACCCCAGCACGACCACACCCCAGCACGACCATACCCCAGCACGACCCCACCCCAGCACGACCACACCCCAGCACGACCTCACCACAGCACGACCACACCCCAGCATTACCCCACCCCAGCACGACCCCACCCCAGCAAGACCATCACCCAGCACGACCACACCCCAGCACGACCTCACCACAGCACGACCACACCCCAGCACGACCACGCCCCAGCACGACCACGCCCCAGCACGACCACCCCCCAGCACGACTACCCCCCCAGCACGACACGACCCCCCAGCACGACCACCCCCCAGCACGACCGACCACCCAGCACGACCACTCCCCAGCACGACCACACCGCCTTGGTTGAGTGGTTGCCTGTCGTCGTGGAATGTTTCGTGGGGTGTCTCGTGGACTGTTTCGCGGGGTGTCTCGTGGAATGTTTCCAGAAAAACGTTGAAAACGGTCGCCCGTGTCTCGTGGAAAGTTTCGCGGGGTGTCTCGTGGAAGTGCCCGTCGCCCAATACGGTGTCGTGAAAACGTTTCCATGCATGCGGTTCTATATCCCTTTCCGGGTTCGTGGGTCCATCATGTTGTTCTTTTGAGTGGGACTGACCCAGGCCTCCCATAGTGTCCGAGCAGTTGGGGCTGCAGGGTCGCGCCACATCGCCGATGCATCGGCGATGCGTCTCGATGTGGAGCCCGATATTCTACACGCCGACTGCGTCGGTGCATCGCCGACGTCGCCGATGCATCGGCGGTACATCGCATCACCGATGCATCGGCAATGCGGCGCGATCCTCCGACTCCTACCTACTCGGACCCCATCTGGGAGGCCTTGAAGTAGGGGGAGCGGTGGAGGGGACTGGGCAGAGCTGTTTTTTCCACCGTTTTCGGAGAAGTGACTCTTGAAAACGGAAACGGTAGAAAAATCGGCAGCCAGAAACGGCGGAAAACGGTTTTGGAATTGGAGCCAGAACAAGAACCGGCAAACAAACGGCGACAGAACCGGAAAAACAATGGCGCTAGAACAGGCGAAAAAAACGGCAAAACGGAACCAGTAACAAAACAGTTCTGGAATTGGAGCCGGAACAGGAACCGGCAAACAATTGGAGCCGGAACCTGAAGAAAAACGGCGCCGGAACCGGTGACAAAAACGGCAAAACGGAGCCCGTAACAAAAACGGCCTTGTAATTTCCAGGGCCCAGCAAGGACTGGTTCAGGGGGGAAACACTGGCCTGGAATCGGCGGCACACCGCCGAAGGATCGGCGATGGTTTCCCGCGTCGGGAGTTCACGCTTCTTGGCGGGGTTGGGGCACCCGTGCCGCGAGCGGCGATGATTGGGCGATTGGAGGTCGATGCTTCCCACCTCCTCCTCCTCCTCATCCTCCTCGTCCTCCTCCTCCTCCTCCTCCTCCTCCTCCTCCTCCTCCTTCCCCTCCTGCCTCGTCCTCCTCCTCCTCCTCATCCTCCTCCTCCTCCTCATCTTTCTCCTCCTCCTCCCCCTCCTCCCCCTCCTGCTCTTCCTCCCCCCCCCTCCTGCTCTTCCTCCTCCTCCTCCTGCTCCTCCTCATCTTTCTCTCCACTTTCTCCTCTTCAACCCTCTCCTCCTCCTCCTCCTCCGCCTCCTCCTCCTCCTCTCCTCCTCCTCCTCCCCTCCTCCTCCTCCTCCGTCTCCTCCTCTTCTCCTCTTCTCCTCCTCCTCCTCCTCTTCCTCCCCCTCCGTCTCCTCCTCTTCCTCCTCCTCCCTTTCCTTCTCCTCCCCCCGCTGGGGCGGCCGCTGGCTCCCTGGCCTTCTGCACCCGTTGCGGTTCAGTCTGCACCGTCGGAGGGCACGGTGGCAAGACTGCTCTCGCGTCGGATTGTCTGGGCCATCGTTCCCAGGGTCGTGAGAGGCAGTTGGCTTGGATTTTGCAGGGCCGCCATCCTTCGAAGAAAGATTTTCGGGTCTCGCGAGCGACCGTGTTATCGGACCCAGCTCGAGACTACCTCGCCGCCAAGATGGCTCTGGACGACCTCCCGTTGCTCGCGCCACCTCGGTCCAGAGGCTCTCTGGCTTCTTCGTCGGGCGGGATTGGGAGGGTTTGGGCTGGGACTGGGGTCGACCTTCAGCGAGGCCTTTCACTTTACGGGTTCAGCTCTCGGGAAGAGGCTGAATCGCTCGGCGCTCGAGCGCAAGTGCGCCGACGGCAGGTTGTGCCGCCCGAGGAGGACTTGGACCCTCCCTAACTCGTTTGGAGTTTGTTTGATGCATGTTTAATGTGGTGGCACCTTTCTAGCCGTTGCCGAGCTCTTTCTCCTCCTCCTCCTCCTTCTCCTCCGTCCCCATGTTTCTGCCGCTGAGGAGAGGGTCGCCAAGTGCCAAGGGGGGGTATCCACCTCGGGAGGTCACCACCGCATGGGAAGCTTGGGCCGAGGAGGGCGGAAGGATCGATGATCCAGAAGGTTTGGAATGCTCTTGGGCGCCTGTGGGCTCTTCCCTCTTTCCTCTTCCTCCTCCTCCTCTTCCTCCTCTTGCTCCTTTTCGTCCTCCTCCTCCTCTTACTCCTCCTCCTCCTCCTCCTCCTCCTCCTCCTCATCCTCATCCTCATCCTCATCCTCATCATCATCATCATCATCATCATCATCATCATCATCATCATCATCATCATCCTCATCCTCATCCTCATCCTCATCCTCATCCTCATCCTCATCCCCATCCCCATCCTCATCCTCATCCTCATCCTCATCATCATCAGCAGCATCATCATCATCCTTATATTATTCCTCCTCTTCCTTTTCCTTCTTCTCCTCCTTCCCCTCCTTTCTCTGTCTCTTTCTCTCTCTCTCTTTTCCTCTCTTCTCTCTCTCTCTCTCTTTCTCCTCTTTCTCTCTCTCTCTCTCTTTCCCTTCCCCTGCCCTATGAGTACACACACATCTCCATGTAGTTGAAGGCTCCCACCGTGCCGCCTCGCTGGCCGACTGCCCCTTAGCCTAGGCCCTGCCACAGGGCTCGGTTTCTTGGGCCGGTCTCGTTTTGTTTTAGCTTGTTCCGCAGCAAAGGCAGAACGAAGACAGAACGAAGGAACGCGAAAGCGAATACGACAAAGCACTGTCTAGCTCGAGCCCTGCCCGGCCATGCGAACCAGATAACACAACGTCGACGTTGTCCCTTCCAGCATGCACGCTTTGCCGCCGACGTCGCAGACTGGCGCGGCAGAAGCGGGACGCCGTGCACGTCGAGCGCGAAAGGGCGACATGTCGCTCTCTCCTCTCCTCGACGACGACGACGACGACGACGACGAGGACTGAGAATTGAGATCCCGCTCCGGCGGGGCGCACGCTTGTCATTCGCCACTTCGTCGACGTGCGCGCAGACGAGAATGCCTCTGTCGGCTGTCGCCGCCTGAGAGTGGCGCCGCCGCCTCGGCGCTCTGCAGATCTTCCCCCCGCCAGGTTGTCTGGGGCTGGGCTGCGCGGCCGAGCAGGTGGCCTGGCGCCCTCGCCCCGTGCTTTCCACGCGCCCTTCGCCCCGCGGTGGCGCTCCCGCGCGGACGCGGCGCGCGTGGCGCTCGCCAGATCGCATGAAAGTGGAGCGAGCACACATGGGAAGGGGCCTCTCAAGCTTTCGTCCAGCCTGCGCAGTGCCCATAAGAGCAAGGACGCAGCTGAGCACGGGAGGGCGTACAGGCAGCCACGGAGCTCGGACATGCAGAAGCAAGGTGCGGACGACGCTGCAAAGCCCTAGGAGAGCAGAGCATTGACAGCGCGAGCACCAAATCTGCACGTGGCCTCGGAAATGCGCCAGGAGCGCCCTGAGAAGCACCGGAGTGCCGGGGAAAGCTTGGGGGCCGCGGGGCAGTCCTGGGACGGCCCTGGGGAAGCCCTGGGGACGAGCGCCCGGAAGCGCCCTGCGAGGGCCCTGGGAAGGCCCTGCAACGCCCTGACGGCGGCAGGGCCGTCTGAGAGCGGGCGAGATGTGGTCCGCGCCAAAGCGCCGCGCAAACTGCGCTCGTGGCCACCGTGGGCCCTAACGCTGTGGGAGGGGGGGTGGGAGCAGGACTCCTCCCCCTCTGGTGATCCATCCTCCTCGTTCCATCGCCTCCTCCCCCCCTGCCCATCAGCCTCATCCCCCCCCCCTTTCAGCCTCCTCCTCTTCCTCCGCCCTCAGCCTCAGCCTCCTTCCTCCTCCTCCTCCTCCTCCTCCTCCTCCTCCTCCTCCTCCTCCTCCTCTTTCTCCTCCTCCTCCTCCTTCTCGCTTCTGGGTTTGGCCCTGGTTCGCTCAAGCATTGCTTTTGCTGTGAAGCTTTCTTTGGGTTCGTGTCGGAAGTATGTTTGTCTACCTTCCCCCTGGGTCCCTTGTCCAAACTCGCCCTTCTACACGCGAGCCCAGATAGCCTTAGGCCAGTCGTGGCGGCTTGTCATCTCTGGTATAAGCTAGCGCACGCCAAATCGACAACGACGGTTTCCTCCAACAGGGAAGCTCTCGCCATTACTCGAGCAGCGAGGCAAGTGGCCGATCTGCTGAGGGGTGGTCGGCGACGATGGCGAGACGAATAGTTCCTCTCGACGCTTTGCCTCCTCCTCGCTCCTCCGCCTCCTCCTTCTCCTTCCCTCTGCTGTTCCCTCCTCCTCCTCCTCCTCCTCCTCCTCCTCCTTGCTCTTCCTCCTCCTTGCTCCTCCTCCTCCTTCTCGTCCTCCTCCTTCTTGCTCCTCCTCCTCCTTGCTCCTCCTCCTCCTTCCTTCCTTCCTTTCTTCCTTCCGTCCTTCCTCCTCCGGCCCCGTGTCATCCTCCCCCCTCCGCGCGTGCGCCGTCGACGCCCGCGCGCAGCCTTTCTGCAGGTGAGCCCGACCGGCTCCGGGGCGAGCGTGCTGGACCCTGTCGCGCCACTGGACGCCCAGGGGGCTCGCCCTCGCCACGCCCATCCCGGTCCTCGAGTTTGTTTTGTTTTTGCGTTTTGCCTTCTTATCCGCTTCGCCCCCGGCCGCCGGCCACCTCTCTCGGACAATGGGCAATGCAAGAGCGACATCATGAGGCCTTGGCGCCGCCGTGAAACAGCGTCGGGACTTCACGCGAAGGCGATGAGTAATCGGCCAAACAAATTGAGTTTATTGTTGAATTCGGTGTTGCATGTCGAGCTTGCTGGCGTATGCTGCGCAAAAAGCTTTTCTACGAAGTATTGAAATGTTGCAATTCCAATGTGTTTTTGACCCTGACCCCACCGATCTGCGTGAGGGGTGCCACCGGATTTCAAGACATGTGGCACATCCCCTGTGTTTTTTCGACCCTGACTCCGCCGATCTGCATGAGGAGTGCCACCGCTGAAAACCTTTTGTTTTTGGACCCTGACCCCGCCGATATGCGTGAAGGGTGCCGTCGAATCTTAGAGATGCGGCAAATCCTACGGGTGTTCCGACCCTGACCCCGCCGATCTGCGTGAGGGGTGCCGCCGAATTGCAGAAATGTAGCAAATCCTACAGGTGTTTCGACCCTGACCCCGCTGATCTGCATGAGGTGTGCCACCGAATTTCAGAAATGTGGCAAGTCCTATAGGTGTTTTGACCCTGACCCCGCCGATCTGCATGAGGGGTGCCACCGGATTTCAGAAATGTGGCAAACCCTGTGAGTTTTGTTGACCCTGACCCCGCCGATCTGAGTAAGGGGTGCCGCCGGATTTGAGAAATGTGGCAAATCCAATTTTCGACCCTGACCCCGCCGATCTGCGTGAGTGGTGCTGCCGAATTTCAAGACATGCGGCAAATCCTATTGTTTTTTTCGACCCTGACCCCGCCGATCTGCGTGAGGGGAGCCGCCCGCCGATCTGCGTGAGGGGTGTCACCGGATTTCAGACATGTGGAAAAGACCTTTGATTTTTTGACCCTGACCCCCCGATCTGCGTGGGGGGTGTCAACCTCGACCCCCCCAGAAATTTTGAGAACCCTCCCAGGAGACGCAAGGTTTGCTGGTTTTTGGCTCCCCCCCTCGCGCGGTCTACAACAAGGGACAGCAAGCAGCATAAAGCAATACTGTAACAGTGGAAACTGGAAACTGGAAACTGGAACTGGCGCAGGGAAGAGCAAACCCTGGTCTTACAGCCTGGTGGCCCGACAAGGGGGCCGGCGGATTTTTCCAATTTTTGGAATACCACACCTTCCCCACCCCAGTCAGATTCCACCCCACGGGGACACGTTCAGCGTCAGGGGGGGAAATTTGTGTATACCATTTCCATTATCAGGGTCCTCGCCCACCCCCCCAGGGCTCTTGGTCCCAAACATGATCGCATTGTAGCGAAAATCAGGACGGGAGGTTTTTGGCCGTTTTCGGCCTCGGGATGCCCTCGCCAGGCCTCGGGACCGTCAAAACATCGACTCGGGATGGAAACCCGGACCCGGGGAACGGGTCGGGGCTTCCAGGGGCCCCGTAGTCAAAAAATCAAGACGTCGCATGCCTGGGGTCATCGTGTACTACTGCTTCGGGCGGACCTGGAAATCGTTTGCTCACCCCCAGGGGGGGGCATTTTGTGCATACCATGTCCATGATCGGAGCCCTCGCCCACCCCCCAGGGCCCTTGGTCACAGTAGTCGGGCGAAGAGAACTATGCACATGCACCGATCCTGGCAAGGCCCATCTTTGACCCAGGATCGGTGCATATGCCTTCCTGGCCAAGGTAGGAGGGCGTATGCACCGATCCTGGGCTCAGGATGTGCCTGGCCAGAATCGGTGTATGTGCATAGTTTTTTTCCTCTAAGTAGTACCAACGTTTCGGGCGGACCTGGAGATCGTTTGCTCCCCCCCTGGCGAGAAGCCGGGGCGCGGCCAGGGGCGAAGCTCGCAGCCCAGAGCTCCGACGCTCCCGAAGAGTTGGGGAGCGGGCGGCTGTCGGCTGCCGTCGGCCTCCGGGGGCCCTCGCCGGGCCTCGGGAGCGTCAGAGAGCGATTCGGGGCGAAAGACAGGCTCGCCGGGCCTCGGGAGCGTCAAAGAACGACTCGGGGCGAAAAACCGGAGGGTAGTGGTTCAGGGACCAGACAACGACATAAGCATGACAACTCGGAGGTCCGCGCGGACTTCTCGGATCGGCGCTGGGGTCCCCTGGCGGCGCCTCCGGCGCCGCCCCTGGCGCGCTCCGCGCGTCAGGGAGGGGGGTCCAGCGCGCATCCAAAAAATCCGCGCGGACCTCCGAGTTTTTATGTTTATGTCACTTTTCGTTGCCCTAGTGGTTCAGACCTCCGGTGCCCACACATCGAAAACGTTGGAGCAGCCGGAAGTCTGGGGGTGGGGTTCTGACCTAGAGGTCCGACGCAGTGAAGACATCAAGACGGAGGTTGTTGTTCGCCGTCTTCGGCCTCTGGAGGCCCATGCTGGTCTCGGGACCGTCAAAAAGCGGCTCGGGATGAGAAACCGGTCTTGGGGGGAGGATCGAGATTTCCACGGCCCGTAATTATTGAAGACATCGGAATTCTGAGGATAATGGGCGTGACCAGAGGGGGGGGTAACTAGGGGGGATGGACAGTCACGGGGGTTTATCGACTCTGGTCGCAGGAGGAGGAAAAGGGCGGGCGGGCAGTTGAGGTGGCCAAGACGGCCCAAGATGACTCCAACAGGGCCTCAGAGATGCCAAGATGGCCCCCAAGATGGTTCAAGCTAGCGCGAGGTCGCCCAAGATGGCTTCAAACAGACTTGAAGAGGTCCCAAGACCGCCCCAAGACGGGCCCAAGCGGCTTCAGGGGTGCCGATACCGCTACCCTTGTTTCGTTTTGGCCTTGTGCCCCTTGACCAAACTTAGCGGAAACGTGTCGACGCCGATCTTGGCCAGGGTCCATGGCGGCCGTTGCCGATTCGCGAGGAGGATCCACGAATCGGCGATGACCACTATTGGACGAAGACCATGATCGACACCGACGTGTCCGCGTTCCGTCTTGGTCATGGTTATCGTTTCATGTCCTTTCATTCTCCCCCTCCTTCTCCATGACCTCCTCGCAGGTGTGCTGGGGTATTCGCTCGATCGTGGAGGTTCTCTCGCCCAGGTGTGTTTTCCAGCAGCTGCGCCTCGCCGAGAGCGTTCTAGGGGGTGCCCGAATCGTCCCGAACAGCCGGAGGTGTTTTTTTGTGTTGGTTCGAAAGCCGAGCCCCAAGCACACCCCTCAAAGGAAGAGGAGGAGGAGGAGGAGGAGGAGGACAAAGTTTTTTTTCTAGACGCTTCGCGTAACCCCCCCCCAGCCTTGCAGCTCGCTGGCGTCGCGGCTCGCTGCCGCCGTCGGGATCCCCGCTGGACTTACGTCCCAGTCGTCTGTGCTACCCGTCAGGCTTGGGCCGACGTCCTCGGGTACGTTCCTCTTGTTCGCACCTGGACGTTGGAACGTCTCTCGCGCCATTTTGGCTGCGCTTGGTCTCCTCGGTGCCTAGCTCAGGCCCGTTGGACGCACCGCTGCATGCCCGTTCAGGGGCTGTCTCTGGCTCCTGGATTGCATCGGCCCCGCCACCCTGGACGCTTTCGTGAGCCGCCTGATCCGCGGCCCCGCGCGCGTTAGGTAATTTAGTCGCGTCCGCGGCCCGTTCGCGACCTCCCGCCGCTGGCGCTTCCGCCTGCGGCTTTTTTTTCCCCACATCCTGAGTGGGGTTCTTGTTTTCCCAGAACCCCCTCTCCTTCCCACCCACCTCCCGCTCCATCTTCCATACAGCACAATATTATTCCTACCACACACACCATACCATACCATAGTTCCTACCACACATACCATACAAACCATACCAAACCATACCATACCACACCATACGTACCATACCGTACCATACCATACCATGGCGTACCATAGCATACCATACCATATCACACCAATGCCACACCGTACCATACCATACCATACCTCCAGTACCATACCATACCATATCATACCATACCGTACCATACCATACCTACCATACCATTGCATACCACTCCATACCGAAAACCATACTACTTACATGGTTTCGTGCCCCTTCCCACCCCTCCAGGGAGGCCCCGCCTGAGCGAGGAGGGTATCGGAATACCATATTATTTACATGGTTTCGTGCCCCTCCCACCCTCATCCTGAGTGGGGTTCTTGTTTTCCCATAACACCCTCTCCTTCCCACCCACCTCCCGCTCCATTTTCCATACAGCACAAATTATTCCGACCACACACACCATACCATACCATAGTTCCTACCACACATACCATACCATACCATACCATACCATACCACACCATACGTACCATACCATACCATACCATACCATGGCGTACCATAGCATACCATACCATATCACACCAATGCCACACCGTACCATACCATACCATACCTCCAGTACCATACCATACCATATCATACCATACCGTACCATACCATACCTACCATACCATTCCATACCACTCCATACCGACAACCATACTACTTACATGGTTTCGTGCCCCTCCCACCCCTCCAGGGAGGCCCCGCCTGAGCGAGGAGGGTATCGGAATACCATACTATTTACATGGTTTCGTGCCCCTCCCACCCCTCCAGGGAGGCCCCGCCTGAGCGAGGAGGGTATCGGAAACCATACTATTTACATGGTTTCGTGCCCCTCCCACCCCTCCAGGGAGGCCCCGCCTGAGCGAGGAGGGTATCGGAATACCATACTATTTACATGGTTTCGTGCCCCTCCCACCCCTCCAGGGAGGCCCCGCCTGAGCGAGGAGGGTATCCGGAAAACCATACTATTTACATGGTTTCGTGCCCCTCCCACCCCTCCAGGGAGGCCCCGCCTGAGCGAGGAGGGTATCGGAAAACCATACTATTTACATGGTTTCGTGCCCCTCCCACCCCTCCAGGGAGGCCCCGCCTGAGCGAGGAGGGTATCGGAATACCATACTATTTACATGGTTTCGTGCCCCTCCCACCCCTCCAGGGAGGCCCCGCCTGAGCGAGGAGGGTATCGGAATACCATACTATTTACATGGTTTCGAGCCCCTCCCACCCCTCCAGGGAGGCCCCGCCTGAGCGAGGAGGGTATCGGAATACCATACTATTTACATGGTTTCGTGCCCCTCCCACCCCTCCAGGGAGGCCCCGCCTGAGCGAGGAGGGTATCGGAATACCATACTATTTACATGGTTCCGTGCCCCTCCCACCCCTCCAGGGAGGCCCCGCCTGAGCGAGGAGGGTATCGGAAACCATACTATTTACATGGTTTCGTGCTCCTCCCACCCCTCCAGGGAGGCCCCGCCTGAGCGAGGAGGGTATCGGAAACCATACTATTTACATGGTTTCGTGCCCCTCCCACCCCTCCAGGGAGGCCCCGCCTGAGCGAGGAGGGTATCGGAATACCATACTATTTACATGGTTTCGTGCCCCTCCCACCCCTCCAGGGAGGCCCCGCCTGAGCGAGGAGGGTATCGGAATACCATACTATTTACATGGTTTCGTGCCCCTCCCACCCCTCCAGGGAGGCCCCGCCTGAGCGAGGAGGGTATCGGAAAACCATACTATTTACATGGTTTCGTGCCCCTCCCACCCCTCCAGGGAGGCCCAGCCTGAGCGAGGAGGGTATCGGAAAACCATACTATTTTCATGGTTTCGTGCCCCTCCCACCCCTCCGGAGAGGCCCCGCCTGAGCGAGGAGGGCATCAAAAAAAAATGGGTCCCACGAAACCGTTAATCTCTGTATGTGGGGAACTCCGTTAGCATAATTTAATATAAAAAAGTACCCCCCCAGCCTTGCAGTCCCCACCCCATCGAGCTGCAGCACAGCCTCGGCGCAGCCGCTTCCCCCGGCGGTAGGTCCTGCTTAGCCCCGCGCGCGCGCCGGCAATTAGTTCCGCTCGTAGCCCGAGCCGACTCGACTCGCCGCTGGCGCCTTCGCCTGTGGTTGCGACAAAAAGTACTCCCCCCCAGCCCATCCAGAAACTATGCCCAGACGAGTTGCCTTGATCAGGGATGTGGAGTAGAATGCAGTGGAATACAGGTTTGGGTAAGACGTCGTACCCTAAGTGGGGGGTGGATGGAGGAGGAATCGAAGGAGGAGCAAGAGGAGGAGGAGGAGGAGGAGGAGGAGGAGGAGGAGGAGGAGGAGGAGGAGGAGGAAAGGGGAGGAGGAAGAGGAGGAGGAGGAGGAGGAGGAGGAGGAGGAGTAGGAGGAGGAGAGAAGGGGGAGGAGGGCGAGCGAGGGAAGAAGGATGAGGGGAACGTGGAAAATGAACTAGGATCAGGGAGGAGGAGGAGGGGAGGAGGAGGCGGAGAGGAGATGAGGAGGAGGGAGGAAAAGGAGGAGGAGGAGGAGGAGGAGGAGGAGGAGGAGGATGAGGAGGAGGAGGATGTGGGGCAGGGGGGGGGAGGCAGCGGCGAGGAGGATGAGTCAACGGATGAGGACGGGGAGGAGGAGGAGGAGGATGAGGCAGTGGGGAGGAGGAGGAGGAGGAGGAGGAGGAGGAGGAGGAGGAGGAGGAGGAGCAGGGGAAGAGGAGGAGGAGGAGGAGGAGGAGGAGGAGGAGGAGGAAAAGGGCGAGCAGAAGAGCCTGAAGCCTCTTGAATGCCCCTCGGAGTCTCCCCGGGTGTCGCCTGGAAGTTGTTTTGAGACCCTTAGGGCGTCAGGGAGGGCATATTGGCGGGCCCAGGGCAGTCTTTGAGTGTCTTGGGTTCCCGGGGTCCTCTGGAGGCCTCTTGGGGGTTTATCGCGAGCCTCTTGGAGGCCGCTTGGGCGGGGGCGCTCTTGGAGCCATCTTGGAGGAGGTCAATCAAACAAGGGGGAGTACTTAAGTAGCCTACCCCTTCTAGAGTCCCTACATGTGTCTCTCGGACCCCTCCTGGGCCCCTCTTGGAGCGCTCTTGGGGCCGTCTTGGGCTCCCTCAGGGACCCTCTTGGAGACATCCTGAGGCCTCGGAAGGCCATCGAAAGCAAAAAGACGAGAAGGCACACGTTATTGACTTTCCGTTGATGTTAGAAGGATTTGGGCCTCTTGGGGGCCCCCTTGGAGCCGTCTCGGAGCGTTCTTGGGGCATCTTGGAGCATCTTGGGAGCCACCTTCAGGCATCTTAGACTATTGAGCCATCTTGGAGGTCATCTTGGGCTCTCTGAGGCTCTCTTCGAGCCGTCTTGGGCGAAAAACACCCTCTGACACCTCGCGGGGCGCCCCCTCCAGGTCCAGGGGAGGAGGAAGTGGAGGGGTAAACCTTTCCCCGAAGGGGAAGAAGGGGGGTGGAAGAGACAGCTCTCTAGACCACCTAGGCCCTAAAGGGCTGGTAGGATTTACTTTCATTGCGCGAAGTTCCCCGTCAGAGGACCGCCGTCTGAGAACCTTCAACCATGCCGAAACAGATTGCCTGGGACTGCAACGCCGCGAATCAACGTCAGTGTTGCGTCCTGACAATCCTCAGTAGCGCCAGGGTGCACTTCATGAGACTTGAGTGTTGCGTCCTGGCAATCCGAAGTAGCTCCTGAACACCATTCCTGTGATCTCAATCGCACGAACCCTCCAACCGAGTTCAACCAGACTTCCTTGAACGTGCTTCACACCTGTAAGACACATGTGCGCGGCGCTGAGGCGAGAACCGCATTTCCCAGAGGAGTCGCTCCCCTCCCGTGCAGCTGTTGCACGTATTTACGATACATGTGCACGGCGCTCAAGCCTGAGCCACATTTTGAAAGCGGCCCGTCTTCTGTATTTCAAGCTTTTGCAAGTGTTGTAGACAAATGCGCGCGGCGCTCAAGCGCGAGCCACATGATGAAAACGACCTGCCCTCCATCCTTGAAGCTGGCGCACACTTTAAAGACGAATGCGCGCTGCGCTAAGGCGAGAACCACAATGTTTGACAACAAACCGCCCTCCACCTTTGAAACTGATGCGAACTTCAAGCTTCAGAACCATGAGTGCTGAGGAGGTCTCAGGCGACACGCCCGGCCTGCCCCAAGTACACGTCTAGGGTTGCCACGAGGAGGAGTCGCTTATATAGAATGGGATGAGCGAGGAGGAGGAGGATAAGGCAGGAGCATGAGGAGGCAGAGGAGGAGGATGACGACGACGAGTGGGAGGAGGCTTTGGAGGAGGAGTAGGACGACGACGACAACGAGAACGGCGACGAGGAGGATGAAGAAAGAAGCGGGACGACGAGGACGAGTATTACGACGAAGCGGGTAAGGAGGAAGAGTGCGACGGCGACGAGGGTGAGGAGGAGGAGCAGGAGGAGGATGAGAAGGAGGACGACGACGACGGCGACGCAGAGGGGACGCGGAGGCGACGGCGGGGAGGAGGAAGGAGTGCTGGGAGGGAGGTGGTAGCTTCGCGTCCTCCCTGGATCCTGACCCCCTATGCAGGCCTCCATGGCTCGCATGAGGCCTACCAGTGGCCTCCAGAGGCCCGACAGGGGTCGAGACGCTCCAAAGTCTTCCCGGATGTGCTCGAACACGGTAGGTTCGTGTCGTGTCGACCGGCGGCCACCCCGCCAGCGGCGTTCCACGTTGAACGCCGTTGGCGACCCAGAACCGTTCGATGTGGAACGATTTGGACATTTCGAAAGGGCCGATCGTTCAAGGTTGAACGATCCCCGTGGTGTCAGGAACCAATGCCGGGGTCGACACGGCACGGGCCTGCCGTATCTTCCTCCTCGATCCTCGGGGATCGAGTCGGCGGCGCGTCCGGGGGGGAAGGCAGGGGGGGCGGGCCGTCTCGGGGGATTTGGAGCGGCTCCATGGCCTTCTTGGAAGTTTTCTTTCTATGCCTTCTCCGAAGCTCCGCCGCCTTCTGACAACATCTGCCCGCTCCCACTTCTCGGAAACCCAGCGGCATAAACATAATGTTTCTGAGGTTTGTGCAGATTTGTTGGATCGGCGCTGGCCTCCCTCGCGGCGTCTTCAGCGCCGCCCCTGGCGCAGTCCGCGCTCCAGGGAGGCGGGTCCAGCGCCGATCCAAGAATTCCGCGCGGACCTCCAAGAGACTGTGTCTATGCCTTTTTGCTGCCCCTCTACGGTGGGGGGCGTTGGTTGAGGAGTGTACCCAAGAGGCCCCAGACCTTTGCCGATTCCTTGTCTGATGAGGGCGGCGGCGTTATCCAGGCCGATCCACCATTGGAGTTCCACAGCTTCAGACCCTGGACTCCTTATCCAATGGTTCCTTATCCAACGCCCTCACCATTTCTCGATCCCCCCTTTGGCGTTGAATTCTGCGACGCGGAAGCACCGCGGGACGCGGTGATGCCATTGGACCTGACGAAATTCATGGTGGGACAATCGGCGCTGTGCCAAAAACCTTCGCGCGTGCCGATGCCGCACGAACCTGCAGTGGGGGAGTGGGGACTCGGGCAGGTGGCCGTATCAAGGGCGCCCTACCAGGACGTTCCACTGCCGGGCAGGCCGACCTCCGTGCCGCTCGGCGTGGTCGCCAGCGTCCTGCCGGTTGCCGCCAGAAGCGATTCGGGCCCGATCAGCCCAAGGACTCGAAGAGCAACAAGCGAGACGAGCATACCCAGATGAGGAATAAAAGGTAACGATGCCGCTGCCTTTGCCTCGTTTTGCGCCTTTCTGGGCCTCCTGGGAGGCCCTCGTCGCCACCGCCGGATTCGCCCCAGAATGCTGGCCAGAACGCACACCGGGAGAGGTCCAGGGAGCAGCAGTATCGCCACCTTTTGCCTTCCCCACGTACGGTCAGGAGCTTTGGCTTGGCGTGTCGCCCCGCCGGGTTCGGGACCACCGCGCTGCGGCGCGACACGCTGACCGCTCGCAGGGCATGGCGTGGCGCTGGGGCCGCCGCCGCGACGAGCTAGGCAGACGCTCCCGGCCGTAGACTGTGGGCCCGCGCGCATTTCTTGCGTCGGCGCTGGGCCCCGTTGCGGCGCGTTTCGCAGGCCAGGGGAGAGCCGGGCAGCGCCGACCCCAAGAGCCCCGCGCGGCCCTCCGAAAGGGTATGTTGACTTCGTTGCTTGTTCTTCCAAGGAAGCTTGATCAGCTTCTCCTCAGGACCCGGGTGCTGTTTGAAGTGGTCCTGTCCCAACCCGCACCTCTAAGCGTTCCAGCAAAAAGTCACGACGGCTGAATGTTCCAGAGTTTGCACCTCCAGAGACCCGTTTCTTAGGATGCAACCCCTGGGAGGTTCAATGCAGCATCGGCGCTGGTATAGCTGTGGTTGAACACCGACCTCATCCGGCATATTCCTGCCTGTCCCCGCTGAAGCTTGTTGAATACCAGGCTGAATCCGGCTCAGTGGCCCCTCCATCGGGCTTGACAGCCACTGATCGCTCTGGCTGCCAGGGAAGCCCATAGGCGGGAGGAGGGAGGAGGGCTTCGAGGAGGAGGAGGAGGAAGACGATGACGAGGAGGAAAAGGAGGAGTAGGAGGAGGAGTAGGAGGAGGAGGAAAGGGAACATGAGAAAGAGGAGGACAAGGAGGGTAGGCGAAAGAGGGAGGACGAAGAGGAGGGCGAAGAGGAAGGGGTGGAGGAGGAGGAGGAGGAGGAGGAGGAGGTAGAGAAGGAGGAGGAGAAGAGGAATATGAGGGGGAGGAGGAGGAAGACGAAGGGGAGGAGGAAGAGGAGGAGGAGAAGGAGGAGAAGGACGAGGACGAGGAGGAGGAGGAGGAGGAGGAGGAGGAGGGTGAGGGAGGAGCAATGGGAGGGAGGAGCAGGAGGAAGGAGGGCGGGAGGAGGCAGAAGAGGGCGGACGAACAGGCGCCGCGCGGCGCAGCCAGCGCGACCAGGGAGACACGGGGCCCCCATCGACCCTTTGGGCACTGCCACCGGCGCCCGGAGGATTCCGATCCCGCAGTCCTCGCCGCCGCCCCACGGGTCGCAGCACTCCCAGAGGGAGCCCCCAGCCGAAGCGGCCCTCGCGGACATCGAGGCGATGGTGCAGAGGCACTGGCAGGAGCTCCACGGCAGGCTCCGCCTGCTGCTGGGCGGAGAGGGGCAGTCGGAGACCGAGCCCAGCCAGCGGAGGCGTGGTGGGGGGGGCCTGGCGGAGGTGCAGGGGCAGTGCTCCCTGGAGACCAGGCCATGGGGCTGTGCTACGCCGCGGTTCTCGGCCCGCGAGAGCTTTCGCCAGGGGGGCTCCGCGTCGCTGGAGTTCGAGAGCTATGCGAGCTCCGCCGCGCAGTCTGCTGCAGCCCGGGCCAGACCGTCCCTGCACGCGAGCGTCCAGCCAGTCACCCGCTTCTTCTCCGGCAACGAGCCGCGGCAGTCGGAGTCCGAGTCGATAAACGGCGGGGCGAACAGGTCCTCCTCTTCCTCCTCCTCCTCCTCCTCCTCCTCCTCCTCCTCCTCCTCCCTACCCTCCTCCTCCTCCTCCTCCTCCTCCTCCTCCTCCTCCTACCTCCTCCTCCTCCTCCTTCCTCCTCCTCCCCTCCTCCTCCTCGCTCCTCCTCCTCCTCCTCCTCCCTATCCTCCTCCTCCGCCCTATCCTCCTCCTCCCTATCCTCCTCCGCCCTATCCTCCCTTCCTCCCTATCCTCCTCCCCCCTCTCCTCCTCCTCCTCTCCTCCTTCCTCCTCTTCCTCCTCCTCCTCCTCCTCCTCCTCCTCCTCCTCCTTTTCCTCTCCTCTACTCCCCTCCTTCTCCTCCCCATCCTCCTCCTCCTCCCTATCCTCCTCCTCCTCCTCCTTCCTCCTCCTCCTCCTCCTCCTCCTCCGCCTCCCCCTCCTCCTCTTCCTTCTCGTACTCCTCCCCTCCTCCTCCTCCTCCTCCTCCTCCTTATCCTCCTCCTCCTCCTCCTCCTCCTCCTCCTCCTCCTTCTCCTTCTCCTCCTCCTTCTCCTCATCCTCCTCATCCTCCTCCTCCTCTTCCTCTTCCGATTCTATCTGCAGCAGGATCACGATGCAGCACCTGGGCGAAGAAGTGATGAGGAAGTCCGTGCTGCAGAGGAAGCGGACAGAGCTGGCGACCGCCAGCGAGCGGCAGCAGAAGATCGCGGCTGTCTGCTCCCACTGGGCGTACGAGACTTTCGAGTCTGTGCTTATTTTTCTCAACGCGCTCATCATCGCATGGGAGACAGAGGTCGTCGCCGATCGCGCCAGCAGGGGTGTAGGGCTCAGAGTCAAGGCCTTCGACGTGCCAATGTATTTCTTCTGCGCGATCTTCACGGCCGACATCTGTTTGCGGCTGTTCGCTGAACGGAGGCATTTCTTGTGCTCTGCGGAGTGGAGATGGAATTTGTACGACGCTTGTTTTGTGGTGATCTCCATCGTGGAGGTTGTCACCACAATCGTCTCCGAAATCACAGGATCTGAACGAGATGCTATCTGGAAGCGATCCGCTTTAGTGCGCATCTTGCGGTTGATTCGGCTCATCAAGGTTGTACGGGCTTTCCGGCACGTGTTATTGTTCCGTTATTTGCGTATCATGGCGGCCTCTTTAAGAGAGTCGATCGTACCGTTGATCTGGTTCTTGCTGATTTTGTCTGCAATTCTCATGTTTTTCGCGATCGTATTCACGAACGCCACGGCCTCCTATCTGCTCGATGAAGGCCTGGTGGACAGCGCCTCGACGGGACAGCTTAGGGAGTACTACGGCTCGTTATTCCGCTCCATGCGCACCCTCTTCATGGCCATCGCAGGTGGCGTTGACTGGGAGAATGTCGCGACTCCGCTTGAGCCTTTGTCCGCCGTGTACATCATGATCTTCTACGGGTTCATTGCGTTCGTGATGTTCGCTATGCTCAACGTAGTTAACGCCATCTTTATCCAGCTGGCTGCGGCAAGTCCCGCCACCGTGCCAGCCCAGCAAGCTGGGTGGCGACTGTTCGAAGGGGCATGGACGGCCGTCACGAGTGGCACCTCTTACTTCCAGATTCGGGACAGTCGTGATGAAGATGATTGGGATTTCGAGGATGATGGAGATCATGAGCAGGAGGAGGAGGTGGAGGAGGAGCAGGAGGACCAGGATATTGAGGAGGAGAAGGAGAACGAAGGCCGTCACATGTGTCACCTCTCGTCTTCACTAATTGAGGAGCTGTCATGGAACTCGTTCGTGCCGTCTTGTGGCTGTCTTGGCATCCTGTGATGCAGTCTTGGTTGTGCATGGGGGCCCTCGTGGGCCGTCTTGAGGACGCTCTTCCGCCGCCTTGGGACTCTCTTGGGCCGTCTTGGGGCCCTCTTGGTTGCTGGGGGCCGTTTTTGCGCCGCCTTTGGCCGTCAAAGTGCCTTCTAAGGTCTAAGGTCGCCTTGGGTCTCACAGGATGCCTTGGGCCGTCTTGGGGCCGCCTTGGACGCTTCTTGGGCCATCGTGGGGTCGTCCTTGTGGGCCATAATGGGCGGGGCCCTCTTGGGGGCCTCTTGGAGGCTTCTTGGGTCGCTGTGAGTTGACGGTAGCCTGAAAAGGCGAGCACGCGACCATCAGTTTAGCAGTTTGACGTTCCCGGACCTGTACACAGTGGGTCCTCGTGTGGCCGTTTGGGTTTCTCCTGGAAGCATCTTGCGTTGCCGTGACGCCCTATTGGGCCGCCTTGGGGCAATCTTGGGCCGTCTTCGAGGCATCTTGGGCCGTCTTGTTTGTCTCGGTTGTCGTGGGCCGTCTCGGAAGTTCGGGACGCGGACACAAGTGTTGGTTTTCCCTCGGGAGCGTAGCCTCGAGTTTGCGGATCCGCAGTTTCGTATTAGGGATCGTGGCCTCGGGAGTAGGGACCCTGCACGGGATGGGGCGCATCTATATTTTTTGGTGGGGTCTCACCAGAATATTGAAACCATACCAGGTAGTACCTGGCATTCTACCTCGCCTCGACGTGCCAGGGGGCCTGGTGGCGGATAGACAGCATTTTGCTGAGGTCCAAGAATGACAGGGAGTATGTTGTCCAAACCCAAATTCACGGGCAGAAGGAGTTCATGAATAGGATGGAGCAGCTCTTTGACGAGCTGGACCACGACCGATCTGGTCATATCGACCTCTCGGAGTTGCGCGAGAAGATTGTGGATGCCAAGGTGATCGCGTTTCTGCAGGCCCTGAAGATGGACGTGCGGCAGGTGGGGAAGTTGTTCAACCTGCTTGACACTGACAAGTCGGGGACGATCGACAAACAGGAGTTCATGGTCGGTTGCACGAACCTTCGTGGAGAGGCTATGCAGCTGGACGTGGCCATACTGCAGGGGGAGACGCGGTCACTGAAAGAGCTCGTGATGCGATTGGCCGACCATTTGGATGACCGCCTCGAGCTTCTCTTACCAATACCGAGGCTCAATGATGATGCCCCAGCGGGGACGAGGGATACTATGTCCAGCACGTTCAGCATGTACGGCGACACGCGCACCGAGCACGTCCCAAAGGACAACGACGTCCCAAGCACGCCTGGACGCACCGCGGCAGCGTGAGCACGGCTCGTCATATCCTGAGCACGACTGCGCTCTGGCCTAACCAGCAGAGCGCATTCTTGGAATACCAAAATGGCAGCACGCACATGCACTTGTTCGGAGGTCCTCGCGGAATTCTCGGATCCGCGCTGGGCCCCCCTGGCAGTGCCTCTGGCGCGGGCCCTGGCGCAGTCCTGCGCGACAGGGAGGGGGTCCAGCGCCGCTCCAAGACATCCTCGCGGACCTGAGCAAGCTTATGTTCATGCTGGTATGTTTCAGCCTATGGGCGGAATACCGGCGGCGCCAGGCCAGGAGGGGCGCCGCAAGGTTGACCGGTGCAAGCGGCTCACGCGCGCGTCCTCAGGTCTCACCGGTGACGGCCCAGAGAGCCCAGAGGTGAAGCAGAGACCACCACCGCCGAGAACCCATCGGGGGGGGGCACCCCTGGGCGATGGACCGCCTGAGCGTCGTCAACACAGGGTGACGCTCACGCTGGCCACCGCCCAGGCTGGACTGAGACTGCCATGGGATAGATCCTTCAAGAGCGCTTTAGATTCCAGAGATCCGCGATGTATCATGTTCTGGCTTCTGCCTGCCCTGGCCTCGTCTTCTCCTCGGTGGCGTTGGCTTCTGTCTCTCCTCTGATGAGCTGTTCTTCTCCAGGGGTCCGGCGCGAGGGCGAAAAGGGGTAGTCTCGCCACGCGCCTCGCTCGGTGCGAGGCGCGACATCAGGCAGCCTCGCTGTCCTGGGGGACGTGATGGGTCCTCCCCACACGGGCCATGCTCAGGGACAGCGTTGGGGGGGGATCGGCTCAGTGGGGGGGATGCATCGACTCCCATTCGCCCATCGATCGCCGATGGGTGCCCGATAGCCCGCTCCGTCCAGGAGCTTGCGGATTCGTTATCGGGGGCTTATCGCCGACCTGTCGGCGAGACATCGTCGATTCCAGTTCAAGTGTCCCCCCTGAGCTGGTTCCCACCTATCGTTACTCCTCAGCCCGCGGAGATCGAGCAAGCTGCCTTTTCCACGCCGCCGCCTGCTCGTAGTAGGTCCCCTGGGCGCTCCTGCCGCTGCGCCCGCGGATACGACTCCCGGCGGAGCCGGATCGTGCTGTCGTGGGCACTGACTTGCAGATGCCGCGGAGGCGGCAGAAAGGCGTGAGGTGCCGAGGCTGTGAATTCTTGCGCTCGTCGGGCGCGTGCCACGAGGCGCGCCGTCCCTCCCCCCATGCCCTCGCATGTCGCATGCCCCCCTCCTCGTGCTTCTCCCTCCGCGTGTCATGCGTCCCCTCCTCCTCCCCTCTCCTCCCCCCTCCTTCCCCCTCCGTCCTGATCGCTCCCCTCTCCTCCTCCTGATCGCATGCCCCTGCTCACATGCCTCCTGATCCTCCTCCCCCCTTGCTCCCCCTCCTTCCTGATCGCATGCCCCCCTCCTCCTGCTTCTCCCTCCTCCTTCCCCCTCCGTCCTGATCGCTCCCCTCTCCCCATATCGCCAGGCCCCCGTCCACGTCCTAGTCCTCCATTCGTGTTCTCCCTCCGCAGGGACACATCATGAGTACTACCCCCTCTTTCTCCTGACGATGTCCTTTCGTGGCGCGGCTCTCTCATTGTGTCGTTTCGCTCGCACGCAGAATTTCGCAATGTAGCATATCATGTGCACCTTTCCCCCATCAGAGCGTCTTTGCTATGTTAAAAGCCAGCTCCCGCTGGGACGCCTCGAGCGGTTCGCTGGTTTCGGCCCCTCCGATTCCTCAAGCCCATCCTCGTCGCTGCCGTCCCCCTCGTTTCCACTCCTCCCCCTGTTCCTGGTCCTCATGCTCCTGCTGCTCCTTCCGCTTTTCCTCCTGATGCCGTCCTCCTCTTCCCTCCTCCTACTCCTTTTCATTCTGCGTATTCTTCTGATCGTCAGCCACCTCGTCCTCCTCCTCCTCCTCCTCCTCCTCCTCCTCCTCCTCCTCTACCTCCTCTACCTCCTTCTCCTCCTCCGCTTCTTCTTATGCAGCATGTGCATCGAGCGATGGGATCAGTTTAACCCCATGCCGAGGATAATAAAGTACCCCCCCCCCCCTTAAGTCGTTAGAGTTTTTTTTTATCGTCGGCCTAGAAGGGTTTCAACTATAGGCGGAGGGCGCGGAGGCCGAACTTCATTATAACTGGGAAAATTCGCCATCGAGGTTACTTCCTTCTTATGTTGAGATAACAACGTCAAGCGAAGCGAACACGTTTTTTTCAGGATGTCTCAAGCGAAACCAACAATTTTGGGAGGCAGCCTAAAACCAAACGATCAATATTTCAACCTTTGATGCGAAACATCCAATGTCGCAAGGACGTCTCAAGCGAAACAAGCAGTGCTTAAGGAATCCTGTCCTGGTTCTCCTCCTCCTGCTCCTCCTCCCTCCTCCTCCCTCCTCCCGCTTCCTTCCTCTCTCTCTCTCTTTCTATATTTTCTTTGTGTTGCTTTCTGTTTCTCTCTCTCTCTCTGTCTCTCTCTCTCTCTCTCTCTGTCCTTCTTTCTCCTCCTCCCTCTGGCGCCCTGAATTTGTTTATCGCTGGGGTTGATTATCCTGGGAAAACTAAGCACATGAGCTACCCTACACGAGCAGATGAACAGTTTAAGTTTCATTAAACGTTTACATATTAAATCCAATAAGTTTTCAACTTTGGATGTTTGCTTCTACCTCCTGCTCTGCTTCTCTTGCTCTTCCTCCTTCTCATCCTTCTCCTCTTCCTTTTCTTGTTTCTTTAGATGTCTCTTTCTATGTCTTTCTCTTCTTGTCTCCCTGGCCCCCTGAACTTGTTTATCGCTGGGGTTGATTATCCGGGGAAAACTAAGCACATGAGCTACCCCTACACGAGCAGATGGAACTTTTAATGTCCATTAAGCGCTTGCAAATTAAATCGAATAAGTTTTGAACTTTGGATGTTTGCTTCCTCGTTCTTCTCTCCTCCTCTTGCTCTTTCTCCTCCTTATCATCCTCTTCCTCCTCTTCCTCCTCTACCTCCTCTTCCTCTTCTTCTCTTTTTATTGTTTGTTTTTCTCGTCTCCCTGCCCCCCTGAACTTTTTTATCGCTGGGGTTGATTATCCGGGGAAAACTAAGCACATGAGCTATCATTAAGCGTTTACAATTTTAAATGTAAGAAGTTTTGAACTTTGGATGTTTGCTTCCTCCTTGTTCTCTCCTCCTCTTGCTCTTTCTCCTCTTCCTCATCCTCTTCCTCCTCTTCCTCCTCTGCCTCCCCTTCCTCTTCTTCTCTTTCTATATTTCTACTTAACTCTCTGTATTTCTTCTCCTTCCCCCTCGGGCATACCCCTCGGGCATGCCCCCAGGGCTTACCCCTAGGCCTACCCCTGGGGCCTACCCCTAGGCCTACCCTAGGCCTACAAAGCGATAGTCCATGGATGCCTCAAGCGAAACAAACAAATATTTCGAGGATGTCCCAAACGAAACAGGCAATTCGTTGAGGATGTCTCAAGCAAAACGAGAGATGTGTCGAGGATGCCTCAAGCGAAACAAGCAATGATTTCAAGGATGTCTTCAGCGAAACGAGAGATTTGTCGAGGATGCCCCAAGCGAAACAAGCAATGATTTCAAGGATGTCTCAAGCGAAGTAAGCAATACTTTGAAGATGCCTCAAGCGAAACAGACAAATCTTTCGAGGATGTCTCGAGCGAAACCAGCAATTCGTTGGGGATGTCTCAACCGAGACAAATCATTGTTGAGGATGTCTCATAGAGGACCAAAGACCAAGGAACCTCAAGATATCTTTGGATTTTTCCTCTTGCTATATCTTTATGCTGGCTCTTGCGGGTAGCTTTTATTATCTCCCCGAAAACCCCGAATTTTATTATCCCTGTGTGTTTATTATCCGCGGCATGGGGTTAATATCAGGTTTCTGTCGGACACCGAAGTCGACGGATGGGAAGGAATTCAGCAACATGGGAATGGCCGGGTGGGAGGGTCAGGATGCCAGATATAGCGCGAGCGCACCTGGCTTGCCTCTTTCCCCACTCCCCCTTCCTTTCCCCTCCCGCTCCCCCCCCTTCCCCCCCTCTTACCCCTCTTCCTTCTTATATCCCAACGTGTTCGCAATGAGCTTCGCAACGAACACCATCAGGGCGCCTTCGGCTACACCCAGTTGTAAATAGTGGCACCTAGCCACACATTGTTATACATCCACATACATCTAATTCGTTATGGATTGCGCGTGTTCCTTATCGTCCCCCAGTGTGCTGAGAACGAGCGTCGCGACACACGCCATACAGTGCTTTCGGCTACACCCTGCCACCTAGTTTTACCTGGCCGCACATATTACTCAGCTAGCGTTTATTCGCACATGGTTACACGACAATTCACATCATGCCGCCGAAATGTTGCAAGCTATGTGTGTATAAATAAGAACGCATATGTGCATCACATGCGCGCGCCATGTTGCAATTCTCCGGAACATGGCTGACATGATTCTTTTCTGAGCATCGGACATCATCGCAGCCTCATGCATCCCTCGAAGACGGAACCTCGATGTGTGATCCTCGTCAGCACCTCAATCCACGTCCACGATATTCGGTAATCGTCAAAGCTGGGATCCTCGAAGCTTGATCGTCACTCCTCGGAATCCAATCGTCGCCCTCATCTTCGAACATCGGTTGAGGCCTCGCTCCTCGAATTTGTGCCGCCTCGTCGATCATGGACCCTCGGTCCTCGATCGCCAGTCCTGCCCGCCATCTCGAGCGTCGGCACTCAACCCTCGAGCCCCGATCCTCGCCACGACTCCGATCCTCGACTCGCGCCTTCGGCCTCTAGAGGCCTCCTTAGTGGGGTCGGAGTAGATAGGGGTCGGGGGATCGCGCCGCATCGCCGATGCATCGTCGACGGGGGCGAGGCATCGGCGACGCCGACGTGAAGGACATTGGGCTCCACGTCGGGCCGCATCGGCGATGCATCGGCGATGCGGCGTGATCCTCCGACCCCATCTGCTCCGACCCCATCTGGGAAGCCTAGGGCCTCGCACGTGAGCTCCG